AACCTTAAGTATATATACATAATATAATAACTAAAAAATATTATTAAAAGGAGTCCCTTTAGGCAAGGTTCCGAAGATACTGGCAGCGTTCCCCCTTTGAATAGCTAGACTAATTCTCTGTCCGAAGTAACTGCCAGCTCTTCGGTCTCCTGTGACGTCGAATAACCTTTTTGCTATTTCCTTAAAAAGTCTTATAGCGCTAGGACCCCACGGACCAAGGGTCTCGACACCGAAAGGAACAAAATCATATTCAGAACCTAGATCCCTGTATTTCTTTAATTAATTTGGGAACAAATGATATCCATTTTCTTTGCGTTTTAGCACTGCACAATTTGTCATTTTAATTAAATTTTAAATAAAATAAAAAAAAACCGTCCACTCTATAGAGATCTTAGAGTATACATATGGCTTATGTATACTCTAAGATAGAGATTTACAATCTACTGAGGGCCATAGTGGTTGCGACATCTGGTGGGACAAAAATGCACAATTCTTCCCCATTGCGTCGTCATTTTTCTGAGTATGATATACTGTGACGTCACACCAAGCGCGAGAAAAGGCGGGCTTTTAAATTATCCGTATCGGTATGATACATATTTTTTATTTTTTTTATACTAAATTTTTGCTTTTTTGGAACTAATTTTTTTTTCAATTATATAACGATCTAAGCTATTGTATAAAAAAATAAAAAAAAATCACGACAAGAAAAATCATATGATGCGAAAACAAATTAATCACTAAATGTGAAACACAAATACAAAAGCCTAAATTTGAAATAAATGTGAATTTGGAATTTTTAACCAAATACCAGATATTTGAGTTTAAATCCGCTGGTTCGACAAAACGTCAATTTCATATAAGGTTAAGGACCTAATATTAAGAAATCAATAAACATACATATTTGTACCAATCATGAATAAACATCGAATAAGTTATTTATAGGTCTAACTTTGGATGAGAATCTCACAGGATTAATAAATAGTTCCGAATGCAGTTGAGACGTTATCGTATGTCACCCAAAAGGCTCATTTTATCAGTACTAAAATATCTTAACTTCGTTAAAGTGGATATGTACTTATATTGAAGTAGATTTCAAATACATAATATATTCATGACTAGGCAATATAGTAAAAGTTCCATTCCCATTCCAGTTTCCAGGATTTCATTTAGAATAGATACCTAATCAGATATTTTCGAAGTCGGTGCCAGCCGATGCAAAGCAAATCTAATATATTATATATAAACAACAAATCTATCCCGCGGGAACCGAATATTTTTCCGGGAGAAAAAGTAGCCTATGTGTTATCCAGACTATAATCTACCTTTGTGCCAAATTTCATCGAAATCCGTTCAGTCGTTCTGGCGTGAAAGTAATAAACATCCATATTCCATACATACTCACAAACTTTTACATTTTTAATATTTATATACATAGGTTATACGATTTACCCTCGCTCCGCTCGGGTTCATCCCTACTCAAGTTGTAACGTTTAGTATAGATTTCTCAGAGATGAGATATTTTCCCGCAGTAAAAAGTACCTATCCTATATGTTGACCCGGACAACTAGCTACCATCATACTAAATTCATCAAAATCCCTGAAGTGGTTTTTCCGTGATGCGATCACAAACAGACAAAAACTCTAAAAAACTATAGATTCGGCCTCTGTATCGATATACAGAGTCATTTTTAATTAACTGAAAACCTTTTGGGAATACACTACTTACAACATAACAACAACATCTGTAAGAAAAAAAATAATATATCTTAAATTTAACAAAAATAAAAGTATTTTTTTGCACCTTCTCAACGGTAATAGTCCAGCATTAGCAAAAGAAAGTGCGTGTCCAGTGGAGGGGGAGGGGTGGAGGGGTGTAGGAAGCCGCGCTTACTCATTTAAACTTGGCCAGATGCTAGAACTTTAAAGCTTAGAAGGTACAAAAAAAATATTTTAATTTTTGTATGAAAATAAAAATTTAAGAAATATTATTTTTTCTTGTTACAGATGTTGTTGTGATGTAAATACATAGTATATTCCCAAAAGGTTTTCAGTAAATTAAAAATGACCCTGTATAATAATGTATATTTCAATAAGATTTTCCAAAAAATATTTAATGTACAGATTCGGCTTAGTTACAATTTTATTATACGTATAGATAAGGGCAGTCCACCGTAAGCGACCTTGAAATTATTGGGGCACTTAATGCATCTGGGGCAATGGTAGTTGAGAAAAATGTAAATTTGTCTGTACGGCGCGGGGGATGGTATACATGCGCTTTAAGCTGTGCAGTATCGATCGTAGCCACCCCTATCGCGGGGCAGTGCGCGCGCAGGGACGCGCGGCGAGAGGGAGGGCTTTGAGGGCGCGAGCTCGCCCCGGGCCCTCAGATTACGTAACGCACACGCACAGGACGGCGCACAAACAATGTGATTTTATTTTACTTCGATTTTTTGTACTGTTTTAGATTATACAATTTTTAGAAGTAGTATCGTGTTTATTATCTATTTATCGTGTGACTATATTTTATTTCAAACTCCTTTTTGGTGTGTAGTTTAGATATTATGTCGACATATAACTGCAAACGTATTGCTAGCAATTTAAGAAGATAGTATAATAAGTGTATTAAAGAATTTAGCAAAATATAATGCAATAATATTTTTAACATGAGATCTCACTATTTAGTACCTCAAGCAAAAATATATTAAAATATTCAGTGGATTTTTTTTGTTTCAATCTTGTTAAACTAGTAAATATCCCGGGAAATCATGACTATATATAGAAAAATAATGAATTATGCTGAAATGAAAAGAAAAACATCGTGAAAATTTAATAAAAATTTTCATACGCTTTCCTATCATTCTCTTTGAGTGACGAGACGGCGCTGCACTGCTTAAACATGAATGGTAAGCTTATTTGATTTCTTTCAAAATATTTATAGAAAGTTTAAATATATTTTTAGTCATTGTACATAGTAAGGCCAATATTTATATTGCTCTCATGCGTTAGCTGTTGATTTAGGTATATAATGTTCTATAAAAATCGGTGTGGGCTCTTTATTGTCATAGTGGTCGTTGCTGCGTAAAAGTACTAATAAAGATAAATGTTCGTATTTTATATAGGTATATCTGAATATATTAATTAAAAATTAATGGCATTAGGCATTCTAACGCGGATATTCGTCTATATCAGTACACCTACGAAACCAATTGCATCACCATACTAGCTACAAAAACAATGATAAGTCATGACTATGTTTTAAATCATTAATATACGAATATCATTTGTTATTTTATTTATATTATTGTAGTCGAAGCGTCGTGTTGGTACTACCATTGCATTAGAGCTCACAGTTTCAATTTTGGATGCTCATTGCTTATGCAACAAATATCATCATCACCACAATATCATTACGCGGAAAGTAGAGATAGGAGTTTTGAGTCGTTTTCGTATTTTACTTCCCCCATACCATATATACGTATTTGTCAGAATGCTCTTACCACTTTTATAGATGTGACGCAAAATTTCGTACTCTTAGTACTATGTTGATCGTAAGTGGTTTTTGATTATTTTTTTCAATTAATATATTTGTATTTTATTTACAATAAAGAAAATTACAAATATTATTAATTATATATACAAAACAAATGTACACTTAGTTATTACTGTACAAGCCATGTCCGCGTGGAATAATGGCAAGAATGCTAGCCGCATTCCCCCGTTGAATGGCAATGCCGATTCTTTGGGCGAAAAATGCGCCAACCCTCCTGTCACCAGTAGAGACGAGATAAGACGAGGTGTTTTGTCTTTTAAAAAGAGCTTAGCACTTTGACTCCATGGGTTTTTGATAATAGGTACACATATTATAATAGTAATATCTAAAACAATATCACATAATACACGTTTATGTTATTGGAGTTTGGCGTATTGGCGTTGTCTTAAATTTCTTTTCAAATAAATTCTATTTCATCTTTAGTACTACGAGTATTGATGAGATATGCGCTCTTGAATTAGTTAGGTTCCCCCAGCCCATATTATAATTAAAGTATTGCCCTATAATTAAATTAATGAAGTGTCTTTGTTACGTTCTAATTCTTTGAGACTCATATACCTACTAGTATTTAGTGCGTGTAGAGTTTTATTTTTTTTCCAAATGTTGCGCCAGTTTTTTTTCAAACGATTTTTATGAATATAAGTGTATATCAAATATTTCTTGAGTGATTGTTAGTCTCAAAGAACACTAAAATAATAATAATGTTATTTGATATTTTTAAAGGTTATAAATATTTTAAAAATCAAAAAAAAATTATAATATGTTCTCCAAGCTTATCTAAAACCTCGCGTTAGTTTTACGTTTCTAGCTTTTAAGGTTTCCGAGGTATGTCATTTTAAAGAAACTCATAGTTTCGCTATTTTTTCTTCATGTCTCAAGTTCAAAGCAGAGTATGGCAGTGAAACTCATATGAATCGCTTTTCTACATCAAGCCCTTATTGACACACAAATTTCGATATAGGTTACCATTAAGGGGCCGATTCGTTATGCCTATCCGCCTTTTCCATAAAAACAAGCACTGTCATATACAGATTCACCGGCCACTTCTATGATAAAATATATATGAATATCGCATTGACTTTAATTTGAATTAACTGTATTTAATGAATGACGCAATTTAACGCCTCTTTAAATCTCCAGTGACAACACCAGGCGTTGCTTCGGCATAAGTATTATCGCGCACAGTTGCGCTCCGAGCGTAGAGTCGATAAAGCGCGCAAGTTGCTGCCGTCGGCGCTTGCGCCGCTAAAAGTATTTCCGCGATATCCAAATACGTAGTTCCTTCTATCGAATCAAATACTAACTAACATAACTCCAATTATACAGTTATTTCGTAATTTTCCCGCGTTTTTGTTCGTCCTGTTCTGGATCATGCCGACACAATAGTAACAAAAAACGCAGTGAATAATAACGTTAAACAACTAATTCGTGGAAATAAAATTGTAACATGATGGAAAAAAGCGATACATACGCAATTTTAGATATAAACATCTGTAACAAAGATTCAGAGAAGACAGATAATGACGATATTGTTAAAAATATGCCCTTAACAACTGTGATAAAAATTCGTAAGTTCATTATAATAATCTAAAACAGCCGTGTGTGTTGTATAATTTTTAAAATTTATAAATTTATTGGTACTTTTTGTTTTATTAACTATTTATCTTACATACATAAATTTATAGACATCGCTTGAATGTAATCATATTTAGTATATTCTAACTCAGATCATGGATTGTTATGTAAACATCTAAAGACTGATACATAACTTTTCTTGCCTACTTGTAAATAACAATAGAGTTTATTTTTTGTGTTCACATAATTCATTCTAGAAACATAATGATAGTTTTGTCTATTAAGACCGTGCGATCACTGCTACTTGCGAGTGGGAGCTGTCCTAATTTCTAGAGACGAACTTTTTACCTTCTTCAATTACTGTTCACATCAACCATACCTAGTTATGCATTGTTGTTCATGTACATATAATATATATACCGCTACGGAAAATGAACTATGGTAGAGTTACCACACCGTGCTATTCTATAAATAAAAATAATGATTATCATATTTTTTCGCAGCTGCCCTTTCATTCCATAAAATAGTTTTAGTAATTATAGTGACAAAATAATTTTGTACATTGATGAGCACGTATGTCGCTTCCGCTCGTTGTCCTCAATGTTTGATGCGCACGCGCTGTGTCCCTGGGCCATGGTATTCAGAAACTAGTCGTGTTCCACTCCGCTGCGCCCACTGCACTCAGACTCAGTACTTGCATTCACACAAAAGAACATCATTTGCATGGCCAATTTACCCAGCTCACTTTCACGTCTTATATATTCAAGAGATGATTCAATATAGTACCTATTATCTAAAGGATGTCGCCGAGTTGTACTTCCGTATTAGTTGACGATAATCAAATAAGAAAAGAACACACACTCACGAACCTATTTGTGCAACTGTTTTAACTAAATGGCTAACTTGTTCTTAATTATTAAGTTAATACTTGTTTCCTTCCCTGTTTAACTATAAAATAGATATTATTTTAGTTACATTTTTTTAATTTATAAAATATAAATTACATGAACAATAACAATATTTTGTTAACAGAAAGAGATCGTGGTGAACGGGATTACATTGGGTTTGCGACTCTACCTGAGCAGGTACATCGCAAATCTGTTAAAAGAGGTTTCGATTTCACACTCATGGTAGTCGGAGAGTCTGGGCTCGGCAAGTCTACATTAATAAATAGTCTATTTCTTGGGGATCTTTACAAAAATAGAAAAATACCCGATGTTCAAGGTACCGTCCATCATTTAAAATAGTAAAATTATTATGACATTATTTTAATTTATTATCCGCTTATAACATTTTATTTATTTGTCCATTAAATAGATAGAATAGAAAAAACAACTACGATAGAAAAGAAAACAATGGAAATAGAGGAACGTGGAGTGAAGCTCCGATTAACGATAGTGGATACACCAGGATTCGGGGATGCAATAAACTGTGAGGATTCTTGGCGCGTATGCTCTGCTTACGTGGACGAACAATTCCGCCAGTATTTTACCGACGAAAGTGGTCTCAACCGGAGGCATATGCAAGACAATCGAGTACACTGTTGCCTTTATTTCGTACCTCCATGGGCTCACAGGTGATTGTTGTTTCGTTATGTCTGCTTCTCCGAAAAGGGCTCTACATATATACTATATATATAGTATTATATGATCTGTGATATAATGAAGGGAATGGGTTCCCGTGATAAGGCCACGATACTTGTAAATATATAATGAGTGGCAATTAATTTGACCAGAAAAGGGAAAGTAGTCGTTATGCGGGCGCTAAGGGCGATTGATCAATCAAAACTAAACCAAATGTCAATGATGCGGATAACATTTAATCCTTACGCTGATAGTATGACAGTTATTACATTGTTTTTAAAACAATATTTGCATCATATTAATTTTAATTTTAAAGATTAGGTATAAAATATATAATAAATCAAAGACACTATATATACAATTTATAAGGATGTACATAGGTACCTTCTTCGTAAATATTTACTTATGTTTATGTTTAGTAAAAATATTTACTGTTCACATCAACCATACCTAGTTATGCATTATTGTTCATGTACATATAATATATATACCATTATATATTGTACTTGATTTATTACCACTAAATGAATTAGCACACATGAAATTTATTCACTTTCTAATAAACTTTTAACTTGTTATACAAGGAATTGGTTAAATACTTACTTCGTTTATTTATTGGTTGTATGTATTTATATTTATATCTTACCATTAGGTACGATAATGATCAATAAACTCTTGTTGTGTTAACACTTTTAATAGCTTTCTGATAGCTCTGACAATGAGTAGCAATCCCAATGGGCAATGATTCAAAATAATCGATGTAAATGTATCAAGTCAAGCATATACGTACATTATTCATTATTTGTAGTTTTCTTAAATATGTTTTATTTAGTAGCTTAAGTTAGTCTACAATTGAAGGAAAAACTATTATTAATTTATTACTTATCATATTGCCTCATTACTTTAAATGCATTTGCTTAACAAACGAATACTTTATACCAGCGTAGCTGTTAAAGATACGTACACTATACATAGGCAATACCAGGTATACATATAATATGTTGCGCACCTAGTACCTTATACTATATCTAAAAATATATGTATGTAATATTATTAAGAATCATTTTACAATAACAATATTCAATATTTCTTGCTAGTTTACGTCAAGTGGATTTGGAAATGATGAGGCGACTGCACCGCAAAGTAAATATCGTAGTAGTGATCGCAAAGGCGGACTCACTCACAGCTGCGGAGGTGCGAAGGTTAAAGACACGCATTCTTAATGATCTTGAGGAACATCAGATACAGGTATAGAAGTTCTTTAAGAACACATATAAAGAGAAACTTACTAAGATTATGTATAAGAGAAATTGGTTGTTTAAGAACAATTATAATAAGGTTAATATGATTAATTTTATAGGTTTATCAGTTTCCGGATTGCGATAGCGATGAAGATGAAGATTTTAAGCAACAGGATCGCGAGCTTAAAGCAGCAGCGCCTTTTGCAGTGGTGGCTTCAGACACTGTCTTAGAGGTGGGAGGAAAACGGGTACGCGGCCGACAGTATCCCTGGGGCATTGTTGATGGTAACTTTCGACTTTAAAATGTTAAGTACTGTAGGGGAGAAGTGGCATGAACGGGTATTGAAAGGGACGATTTAAATAACCGGCGAAATAAAAACAATTTCGGGTCAACACTATGTATGTCGTATGACAGTCCTATGCTACTCTATGGCGGGCAAATTGTATATCTACTGTGATAATTACGTGCTGGTTAAAAATGATATTTATAACTTTAATGATACATTGTTGATTGTTATATTATAAAGCTACATATGTTCCACCTATGTATGATATATGATTTCAAAAACAAAGTAATAAGGCATACTTATTACATTATTTCTGTAAAGTTATATTTATATTTTTTACTAGTGGAAAATCCTCGACACTCCGACTTTACAAAGCTGCGGACGATGTTAATTTCCACGCATATGCAAGACTTGAAGGACGTTACTCAGGACGTGCACTACGAAAACTTCCGCGCGCAATGTATCTCGCAAATATCTCAGCACGCTATGCGTGAACGGGGGTTGGTATAATTTCAAGTTATTTTAATCTTATTACATTACTTCTCTATAATAATAACAGTTATTTTTCTGTACAGAAAACTGAAAAGAGATTCAATGGGAAACAACGCAGATGTAGTTTTCACAGATACGGATAGATTACTCTTGCAAAAAGATGAAGAGGTAAGGTTTTTTCCTAGAAGCTAATTATAAATAGGTACTATAAATATTAACGCTTTATAAACTTAAAAGAGTTATCAGAAGCGAGCTACGAAGGCTGTATACCACTGTATTCCATATATATGTTCGATTAAAATATTATAAGAGTTATAATATTGCTAATTTTCGCGCCATATAGGCCTACCATGGACTTCGTACTCGTATGTACTTAACACTAAATAAAAAATGCATGGTTTTCATTATGGCCACTATAATAAATATTTATTTTTATAAATGACATTAATATACATACATAGATCGTAGAATTTGTACAATCGTTCAAGTAGGTGAACGCGTAGGTACATCTTGAAATACAAGATAAAAAGCATGGTCAAAATTCAGGTCAGATGATGATTGGCCTCCGTGGTTTAATGATAATGACATTATCGTCTTGCTCATGCCAATTAGGTTATTTCATGTATGTTATGCATGTCCTGAATATAACATAAGTAGATCGTAATAGGTATGTTTAAATTACGTAACATTAAGAAACTCGTTACTTAGAAAATACTTAATTAGGTAGAGTCATTGACTTTCCTAAAAAATCGAATATGTAGAAGTTGGTAATTGAAAATTGTCTATCTTATTTAATTGAGCAAAAAAAGTACCTACAATTCTATAAATTGTAGATCTGAACTAGACCAAACAATCCTATTGTGTGTGTCGTACATATTCATATGAAGATAACTTTATACATGGAGAAAAAAATACATTGTGCAAAAATAAAAAAGAAAATAGTAAATTAAAGCCTTGTTTATTTTTAAACTTTATCGATCAATGCCATTAAAATTGTTGCTCTAGGAGTCGTTTCTAGTATTGAAATTGATTTCGGATTTATTATTATTTGGTTTAAATTTAGCTTTATTCTAATCATTCTAAACAATATATACTTAACAACAGTACTGCGTTTAAAACTGGATTGTTCATTTAAAGTGTGAATAGTTTTTACTATTTCTCTCATTCATTTACGAATTTCACTTTACATTAGGAGCATGCAATTTATACATGAGTATAAATTATAATATGTACATGTAAACCTGTATGTACTTACTATTTTCAGATACGACGTATGCAGGACATGTTAACCCAAATGCAAGAAAAACTCAAAGCTTCCGATAAGAAACACGACAGTATTATTGATGTATAGAAAAATAGACTGCAAATATTAGTTTAGAAATAAAATAATGTTTTAGTTTTACTTCATAGGAAGCGGTTAGAAAATTCCAAGAATTTAAGTTATTGTAGTTTGTTAATTGATATTCACAAAAAGCATGGTCTAGATAAGGTAAAGAGAAATATCGTATTCAGATTTCAGAATGCTCACATTTTTTATATTATATGTTTATCTTATGAAAAAAAGCTCTAAAAGATAAATATTAACGGAATATACCTTAATTTCACACGTGAGTTCTTCAAACATGTACTTGTAAAACGAGTTAAATAGCTAAATCTTATTAGAGTAGGTTTTTAGATGAAATAATATATCACTGTTTTACAATTTTAAAATTGATCTTAAGTGTTAATGTGCTGTCATTCTAAAAATAAAATACTATTTTACAACATCCTTGCTATGTAATAACTCCGTTATATTGATTTGAGCATTACATAAATCACAAAATCTTTGTAAGATAATTATGAATTCCATATAAAATACAGACTCATTAACAATTATTTTTGTAATTTCACTTCAAATATTTTAATACAACTACAAAACGTGAATATTTTTGTTAATTAACAGTTCTATGCATTTTTTCACTATAACACGATACCAAAGTCTATATACCTACAAATAATTTTTTGTAATAATATTATTATACCTAGTAAATTGATACTTTACATATTTATTTGCAAATGTCTTTCACTTACCCTCAAAACCATCCTTCACCTTTTAATATTCAAAAACGTACACATTACTTTACACCTACTAAGAAATTTAAATTTAATCACCATTTTGAAATCCACATTTAATCTGTACTAATATTATAAGTGTGATAGTTCGTGAGTATGAATGTATGGATGTATGTTTGTTAATCTTTCACGCCAGAACGGCTGAACGGATCTGGATGAAAGGCACAGAGATGGATTTTAGTCTGGAATAACACTTAGGATAATTTTTATAACGGAAAAATATACGGTTCCCGAGGTATAGATTTATTTGTGTTAGTTTTGTGCTAGTAAATACCTAACTTGACTATATAAGAAATGGTGAAAGAAAAAACAAGTTTCATAAGTTAATATTTTTTCTAGAATTTTTGTTCACACATGAAAAATAATATAAAATTGTTATATACTGTACAGTTTTTTTAAATATGTTACTGTACACGATTTTTAATAAAATGCTATACCTATTAGATACTCTTCTTGTTTTTTCATTATCTATTATACCTAGTGCCCAGAGATGAATAATAAAGCTAGTGCTTAATATAACATTTTTATTTATTAATTCTTAGTTGTTACTAACCTTATGGCATACTTAAAAGTTGTAACAGTGCCCATTTTATTAATAACTTCGCATTTTGAAATCACTTGCTAATAAGTAAGTACTAATACTGACTGCACAGTTTTGGGCAGGCTAGGCTTAATCTTTTAAAAAAAAGGTGTATTTAAATAAAATTGAACAATAGTTTCATTATGAATTAATATAGAAATCTTTTTTACCAATCCTTTCAAAAGTTTTCAAGTGAAGAACCAACACTAAACACTGCATTCAGATTTTACTTGATAAATGACAATACTTTTTTGATTTGCTATTATGTATTAAATTTCAAAACGGGTTCCCTATTGTTCTTTTTTTTTCTCTATTTACATATTAAACAAAACAGTCTTCCATAAAAATAAAGCACCATGTGATGAACTTAACTTTACAATTATATATAAGTTTAAGTTTCTCTATGTTACTCCAGCTCATAGTCGATTACTGTAGTTTTCAGTATTCGCAGCCGAAAATTTCGTTATTCGCGGATACGTAACTTACGATTATTTATAAGTATAATTTAAAAAGAGATAATATTCATTGTTCAATATTGAACTTTTCAATAAAACCACGACGTTGCATAAAATACCCGATGGTTTATATATATACGTGTTTCGTCAAAATCGAGGAATTTGTTAAGACTTGATGAATTTTGAAAAATTTCTTTTTAAAATTTAAATTAAAAAATTAAATAAAAAAATTAAAATTTTCTTGAAAAATTTTGAATAAACAATCGTAAAACTTGATTTTATTCTTCTTCAATCTTTTGTTTTGTTTGCAAACAGATGTGTAGGTACTACCTACTTTTAGACGGTAGTGTAAGACGCCAATCGCTACGGTTAAAAAAAATTGACCCGTCTGTAGAAAAAAGTCTTGTTTTAAAAGGAAATTTGATGAAGCCTCAGTTGTATAACAAACGGAATAAAAATAATCTATTAAAGGCGGTGAAGCAAAAAAAAAATACTAAACATTTCAAACCAAATAGTTCAAACAATAATTTTTAATGATAATATTTTTTGATAGCACTGTAATGAACTGTTATTTACTAATAAACTGATTTTATTACCTTGGAACATAACCCCCTACATTTCCATACAAATCCATTCTAGTCTAAGTCTTAGTAATCCCACATTCACGGTTTCTGTATTCACGGTATAATTTTGGAACGTATACCCCGTAAATAAGGAGCTTTTACTACTAAATTTTATCCAAATCTGTCCAGACGCCTCAGCGTCAAGAGTCGTATATCTATACTATAATAAAAGAGTAGTGGTCGAATGGTCAAAAGAATGCTAAAAACCGAGTCAGGGGGATGTAAGAGAAGACAAATAGAACAAATCCAGATTTTTTTCAAATTTTCTGTTTCTCTGTCTGATTGTATGGGCTAATCTCCGAATCTATTGGACCGATTTAAATGAAATTTTGCATGGTGGTACCTTATATCCCCGGGCAACATCTTAGATACTTTTTATTCCGGAAAATTAAAGAGCTCCCGTGGGAAAGTTAAAAAACTATAATAACTTATACAGCTTAGTACACAAAAACTACTAATTGGGTTTTAATAAAACTTTACAATAATTTAGTTCATACATGACAATAACAAATCGGCTACTTTTCATCCCGGGAAATTAAAGGGTTCTCGTGGGACAGTCAAAAAACTATAGTAACTTATACAGCTTAGTACACAAAAACTACTGATTGGATTTTAATGAAACTTTACAATAATATAGGTTATACATCAGAATAACAAATAGGTTACTTTTTATCCCGGAAAATGTACGGTTCCCGTGGGTTAGATGTTTTCGTTTATTTGTAACGTATTATGTACACAACATAGACCCAAAACAATAGTTATTAAAAAAACTGTCCGTTTGTCTGTATGTCTGTTTGTCTATTTTTGTATGCGCGTTTCACACGAAAAGTAATGAACCGATTTCAACGAAATTTGGTGAAGTGTTACCTTATTACTCGAGTCAACGTTTAGGATACCTTTTACTTCAAGAAAACCTTCCTTTCTCACGAGTAGATACAATAACTGGTTTTATCGAGTCCTCCTTCTGCTGGCTAAACCTTAAGACATACATACATCAAAACAATATGCTAAAAAATTGTAGGTCTTGAAAAGTCCTACAGGAAATTTCTGAATAGTATATGTATATCTCCGAAGCAATATCTTTTCTTATCTACACTTTAATAAAACTAACTTAGTCTAATCGATGTGCGCGTTTCACGCAAAAAGTACTGAACCGATTTTAACTAAATTTGGTATAGTGATAACTTAGTAGTCGGGTCAACATTTAGGATACACTTTACGGCAGGCAAATTATTCATTCCCACGGGAAAACACAATAACTGGTTCTATTGAATTGTCCTTAGTTTATATGGCTAACGCTGGCTTAACCTTAGGAGAGAGATCAAAACATTGTACAAGAAAATTGTAAGTTTTAAAAAGGTCTATAGAAAAGTTCTCAATATAATATATCTATCTCCTAAGGTACACTCGCTATAACTATTTTCATTATTATAATATATACTACTGTTTTATTATACGTTATTTATTCTATCTATAAATATAATAAAACTGTAGAGGTCGAATGTCTGTACATAAAAAAAATGCTAAAAACCGAGTTAGTTATCTTCTTACATCCCGTTAGAAGAAAAATAGAACAAAATAAAAATTTTAATTTTTTTTGTTTCTCTGTCTGTTTGTACGGGCTAATCTCCGAAACTATTGGACCGATTTAAAAGAAATTTTGCATGGTCGTACCTTATATCCCCGGTCAACATGTAAAATACTTTTCATTCCGGAAAATTAAAGAGTTCCCATGAGATAGTTAAAAAACTATAGTATCTTATACAGCTTAGTACACAACAACTTGTGCACCTAATTTAGTAAAATTTAACATTCTGATACCTTATATTTCCGGTCAAACAACAGGTTACTTTTCATCCCGAAAAACGAACGGTTCCCGTGGGAACTAATAGATCTCTATTAGTGATTTCCTAGAGGAGAACCCGAGCGAAGCGAGGGTGAGCCGCTAGTTTATAATAAAATTCTAATTAACATACATGTAATGCAAATATTTGATTGCAACTCAAGTACTTATATTTTATTTACTTATTTTAATATAATATAATAAATATAGGTACAAATTATATAATATATTCTTTATTGCACATAAAAATTATTTTTTTAATTTTGCAAAGGTGGACATATCTCTCGTCCAGTCGATTTATGGGGGTTAGAAAGATTGTTACTTAACGGAGCAGAAAAGTGAAAATAATAAGGAAATAATTAATTAAAAAGTCACAGTATAAATAAAAATAAGAAACCACATACATAGTCGTAACACAAACATACAATTATATATATAAAATACAAGCAGAACCCGCGGCTTCGCTCGCGCTAAAAGTGCAAAAAATCTAAATAGATAGTTGCATACAAACTTTCATCCCGTATTTAATTAACCCCTTTATACGATGAATTTCGAAAAATGCTAAAACACGTATTTATTTAATTTTCTTGAAGAGCATTAATGCCAAGTTTCAAGTAAATTTGATCGTAAATATTTTTTTGAATTCTATTATAACGTGTTTTCCCGTGGAAATTAGTTAAGCTTCCGCGGTAAAGCGGTAAAAAGTAGACTATGTCAGTTTCCAGCCCTTAATCT